AGACAGAAAATGATAATAATAGAGACAACCGGTTATTCTCAGTGCTGGTGGACTTCAGTGGCCCATAGCCAATTGGTCTGGCGGAGGTGATGGTAGGCCTTGGTCTTGAATGTCGGCAATTTCTTGAGAGTTGGGCGTTCGGCGAGGATTGGGGCAGGCAGTGTGTTCCAGCTCTCCAGGACAAAGTATGGGAAGGAGCGGCGGATGAACTCTGGACTGGAGGCTGGCAGAGGAGTTGCGAGTTGGAAAGAGTGGCCACCGAGGGACTGGCGTTGCCGGCGCGTCCGGGGTGCAGCGTTAACTCTTGCTGGGGGAGGTACCATGTTGGTAAGCAGAGCTGGACCTGGTATGCATTGCAGCTTATACAGGTAGCACAGCCCGTAAACATGCCTTCGGATTGCCAGGCTGGGGAGCAATGAGGGGCCAATAACCTTCATGGCTCGACGCTGGACCAGGTCCAGCTGATGGAGGTGACAATGTGCAGCACTTGCCCAGACGAGAGGGGCGTACTCCATTATAGGCCGTACAAATCCTTTGTACACAGTTAGGCGCCCTGCACTGTCCAGGATCCGAGATGCCTTTCGGAGCAGGCCGAGTCGCTGGTTGGCTCTAACGGCAAGGGAACGGATGTGGGCCCGGAAGGAGAGAGTACTGTCAAATAACACTCCTAGCAGCTTGAGCTGAGGGCTCTCAGGCACCTGCATGCCATCAAATGTGAGCTGTGGGACATCCAGGGATGGTCTGTGGCGGTCAAGGAGTATTGCCTGAGATTTTGATGGATCGAACTTTATCTTCCATTGGGCACCCCAAGTCTGCAGGCGGTCAATAGATGCTTGGAGGCTATTGCAAGCAGCAGCGATGGTATCTGGGTTTCTGATTAGGGCATAGAGTGTTGTATCGTCCGCATAGACAGCTAGACTGGAGCCTGGGGCTAAACACTGTTCTGCATCGTTTACATATAACAGGAAAAGAGTGGGACCTAGGAGGCTACCCTGGGGCACTCCAGCCTTGATCGGGAACAGTGGGGAGGACTGACCGCCAACAACTACAGTCAGTTTTCGGTCATGGAGATACGACCTTAGCCAAGCCAGGAGTTGGCCGTGGATGCCACATTGCTGTGCCTTCGCAAGGACACCTGGGTGGGAAACCTTGTCGAATGCCCCGGCAATATCAACTGCCAGGGCATGCACAAGACCGCCGCCAGCCAGGGTAGTGGCCCAGGAATGCTGGAGAGCCGTCAGTAGGTCACTTGTGCCCAGTCCACGTCGGAAGCCAAACTGGGACGAGGAGAAGAGTTGGTGGGTTTCCAGGTGGTTCACAAGCTGTCGATTGATGATACCTTCCATGATCTTAGAGATGATCGTCAGGAGAGATATAGGCCGGTAGTTCTTCATCATGGATTTGGGTCCTTTCTTGTGCACTGGAACGACACGGGCAATTTTCCATGATTGGGGCTGGACTCCATTTGCAAAACACAGGCGAAACAATCTAGCCAGCGGATGTGCTAGTTCAGCTGCACACTCCTTGAGTACTCGTCCTGGGATCTCATCTGGACCAGTGGATTTGGATGTGTTGAGACGCTTCAGGCACTGTTGGACTTCAGAGACGCGGAAGCGGATGCGCTGCAGGCCCGGAGTGGTAGTGCGGGGTGTTGCTGGTAACTCAGCATTGTCGATGTCATTATTCCCAAGGCTACATTTTTCAGCAAAGAATCTAGCAAGGCACTCGCTCTTGGCTTTCGATGTACTGTGCTCGTGCCCGTCAGCATCAGTGAGTGTTGGCACGTCTGTAGTCCTACCCAGACCGGCGGCGCGCTTGACATTCCTCCACCAGTCCTTGTCTCTCATGGAACCACGTGTGAGACGCTCTCGGACTGTCTGCTCTTCAGCTTGTTGTGCACGATGTTGGGTTGTAATAGATTGAGTGACAATTGTCATGAACGACTGCTTCAGGCATTCGCTGGGCCCCTGGTGACGCCAGGCCTTCCACGCTTTCTCTTTGGCACGTTGAGCCTCAGTGCATTCTGGTGTCCACCAGCTCGGATCGGACGGCCTTGTTTCCAGCATCTTGTGGGGAATAAACTGCAGCATCCCAGACACGATGTGCCTAGTAACAAGGCTGCATGCTTCCTCTGGGTCCTCCGGAAACTCAGCTGCCCAGGCAATGCGACGGTAGTGGGCACGCAGTCTGTTCCAGTCGGCTTGGCCATATCGCCACACACGCCTCCGTGTGCTGGGCTCATTTTCTAGCGGGGCTTGAGCGAGCACAGCGTGGACAACACAATGGTCTGACCTTCCTATCGGCGGCGAGATACCGGTGGTCACAGTACCAGTGAAGTCAGAGAGCACTAAGTCCAGGGTGTTGAGACCTCGGGTTGGTTCTTGGACATGCTGCATGAGGCTGTGGGCAGCGCTTAGTTCCTCCATGTACTCCCCTGCACGGGTGGTCTTAGAGCTGCCGAGCCAAGCCGTGTTGTGGACATTGAAGTCTCCGACCAGCATGGTGTGGGTGCCGTGTTTTCTGACGCTATCCAGGATGCCATCGAGGTGCTCAAGTGTTGAGATATCAGTGTCTGAGGCGGATCCTGGCCTGTATACAGCACCCAGCACTATCTTACCATGATGGGCAGACTGCACTGTGAGCCAAGTTACTTCGTGAACAGATGAGTCGTACTGATCTAGATGATGGTACGCCAATGGGCTGCGTATCCAGATTGCTATGCCACCACCATGTTCAGTCCTGTCACGCCGGAGTGGGCCGGCGTACCCTGGGATGGCTGACTCGTGAAGGGAGAATTTCTCTGCGGTGATCTTGGTTTCAGTAACAACAGCGATATCAGCTTTGGAGGATACAAGCGCGTGTTGAAACTCTCCAAATTTGGACATGATTCCACCAGCATTTGTAAGGAGAATTTTCATTGTTGCTTGCTTGCAGTATCTGCGCTGCTGCTTTTGTTGTTGCTTGCAGTATCTGCGCTGCTGTTTTTGTTGCTACCTGCGCTTTGCAGTGGATTGGGCAGGGATGGGGATGTCTCTGGCGTGTCAGTTGGTGGGCAGCCAGGCTGAGCTGACCCTGGTACTGTCTTGTGAGTGTCGGATGTGTGGAAGGTCCACCTCCTGCAATAGAGTGGCCTTGGCCAGAAGTTGGCAGCCAGCAGGATATGCAGGGAGCTGGCATCCACAAACGCTCTTGCAGACATGCAGCCGCTAGCATTGACATGCATGCTACAGGTGTGGAGCACTACTGGTGTGTCGGAGTTGACGGCCCTGCTACGCAAATCAACAAATTCGCGTAACCGGTCTTCAGTTGTCTCCCTGCTGAGGTTACCAACATATACAACAGCTCTCTTCGCTCTGTGGGGCTCATCTGCAATTAGTTTCCATGCATCGTCGGAGATGGGCTGCAACACCTTTGTGCTCTTGTTGCGCTTTCGTCTCCGTGGCTGCTGAAAACCGTCATCCGCGTCACTCTCGCTCACGCTGTCCACATTGTGGCCAGGGCTGGCTGCTGGGCGAGCATCATTTTCAAATTCAGTACGGGGCGCATCGGATGCTGGACCTTGGTTCAGCGCGCTGCTGTAGCTGGTAGGTCTGCTCGTACTCGCACTCATGCTACACTGCCTGCAGGCTGTGCGGGGGTCAGTACGGGTACGGTCAGGGTTCGTAGTACGTCCTGGCTGGCATGGCTGAGGAGCTTTCGCCGCGGCAATGGCGGATTCTTTGAGAGAAGCTACCTCCTCCTTCAGCTCAGATACTTGTCTGGATAGCTCATCGAACCTATTGTTCAGGCGATCCTCGCGATCGGCGGCCTCGGAGACAAGTGCGGCCAGACTTTTTAGCACTGCCGATACATCCGACTCGATACTAGGCAGGGAGCCCAACATTTTCGTCTCAGATTCAGTCAAGGCTGATACACGAGAGTTAGTTCTCGTGGTAGCTCCGGGCATGGCAAGTTTCCCACACTACTCTACTTCTATTTCTAATCACTGATCTAGTCTACTTCCAGTCCGGCCTGATGCCGGCTGGGCTGCAAAATCTCGATAGCTTCAAGCAGTTTCCTTGATGGCAGCGAAGCCTCCCTGCCGAGAATCTTTGCCTGGTGGAAGGGCAGAACGTTGGAAGACTTTGAAGATTCTCGATGCTGGGTACGATAGTGGAAGCCCCAGGGAGCCTTCGCCACCATCGCCCTTGCCTCTCGGTAGTGCTAAGCGAATCGGTCCCTCACCGGCCGCTCGGTCTCGCCAACGTACAATTCCGCACACAACGTGCAAGACATACAATAGACAACACCTTTGACTAAACACTGACTATCCACCATACTCGCATCACATGCACGACACTCCATTGTTCGACCTCTCCCTCTATTCACCTCAGATCGCTGCTTCTCACGAGGACACACACGTACGGCACTCGACGATCGGACCAACATATCCTTCAAAGAAGGACCAGATACAAAGACAACACGAACATGCGAACTGAACTTTCGAACATGTCTTGAGACACGAGCGGCAAGTGAGTCGTTGATGAAGGACAGTTTGATGACCGACTTGAATTGGTTGTGTCATAGATAGAGATTTCATCGTCGAGTTTCAACCCTTGTATCTTTGGTTTTATTCCTTCTTTCCATGTCGTATTGTTTGAATCTAACAGGTCACTTGTAACCTACTTACAGTACACTGTCACCGTTCCTTAATTAACTTAAGTACATGTACATGACTGTACAGCGCTGGCAAATGAAATCCGACCCCCTGAGCGGTGGGTTCACAACTTCACATTCTTTGCGATGTGAGCGCACCGCTCAGGGGGTCGGATTTCAGTTGCCAGCACTGTACATGTACTGTACGTGTGCATGATTGTAATACAACGTACATGTACATGACACAATGACTATGTACATGTACATGCACGTTAGTTGTGGCATTGTCCACGGTTGGCCTTTTTCACACCTCGCAACAGAACTCCATTTTCAAAAATACTGTATGTCGGGCTGGTGAGATTTCAGTTGGTATTTCCACTTGGTCTACAACTTAGTGAATATTATACTAGCAATGCAAACGTATGGAAGTCCTTTCATAAAACTATGCCGCATTACAGCAGTCATTACAAATCTGCAGCTGGAATTATAATGGCATTGTGAACAGAAATGTAACAGAAGAATGAGAGAAATCGACCACGATGCTGTAGTGAATGCGCTAGAGTATGATAGTATTAGTAAGAAAGCTAAAGATGGTAGCAATGACAAAGGGAGAACACTGGAAGAGGCTAATGTATCGAGTGAGAATGACAAAGGAGGGAGAAGAAGGATATGAGAATAAAGACACGCTGCATGACTGTCCGTGTTGACAAATCAGCTGGGCTGGCGATGCACATGTAAAGTATGTCCGATGAGAAGAAGGCAGCATTGCCTGTACCCATTATGAATCAAAGTAAAAGAATACAACGACAACAACAGCAACAATCGCAACAACAACAACAGCAACAAAACAACAACAACAACAACAACAACAACAACAACAACAACAACAACAACAACAACAACAACAACAACAACAGCAACAACCCACACGTGATTGTGCATGCAGCTGTGTGACAGTAGTAGCGATGGTGGCGGAGGCTTGTGTAGGTGACAACTTGAATTAGTTGGCGGCGGAAGAATTTAGGCTCACATTCATGTACATATCACAACGTATATACCGGTATACATGTATCATCATCTTAACTAAGTCATCTCCGCTTGGGAGAAGAATCACTATCCTTACAAATTAATGTTCTGGAAGGGAAAACAGACAGAATATCGTCCGACCAGTAGTGACGATGTGGTACAGTTATTCTCACAATCACAGGTCGTACTGCCATCACCAGCCTGCGCTCGCTGAGAACATAGACATGCTGTTGTAGACCATCTAACAGCAGAAAATACACATAACGAACAAAACTCTCCTGGAAATGCTTCCCCGCACAAGCGCAGGAGTATAATTATTACATGTGTAATGAAAGGTAAGTTAGTTAAATTAATTTGCACCACCATGCAACTGCACTGGAGAGTCAGATTTCTTTGGCCTCAACCCATGTACAAATATTTCAATAAAGTGGATACTAATATGCACTCCCACTGACATCACTCGTATAATTGTTCATTGCCACTGACATCACTCATAATTATTATGATTGTTTGCATACATGTACAGTGTACATGACTGTGTCATAGTGCTCCTGACTACAACCATAAACCGGTTGGCAGAGTCCCGGTCTTGCGACCCTTTGAACCGTATTGGGAAAACCCAGGTCTGCCAACCGGTTTATGGTTGTAGTCAGGAGCACTACGCGTCCTCGCCTTGTAACATGACTGTGTCATGTACGCTGTACTTCATTTGCATAGATTCTCCACAATCAAAAGAGTCTCCGTCAACGGCTCATGAAGAAGGTTATGACGAGCGAGTTGCAGCTAATCGAAGGAGCACTCAATATACCTACATTGTAAATTTGTCAGTCCTAGGAGCAGCTAACAGGATCTGATGAGTGATACTGATTTTAGGTAATACTCTCCCCTTTAATTAAAAGGTTTTCAAACTTTTTAAGTGCAAGGTCCACCAACCACTCTCGAAGGCTTTCGACAGAGTCTGGCACGCCGGTCTCCTCAAGAAACTGCAACACCTCGGCCTGAAAGATACCGCCCTGCAATGGATGGTCAGCTACCTCACCCATCGCCGTCAACGTGTTCGTGTCGGCGACGCCTTCAGTGAGTGGCAAGCCATACCAGCAGGGGTGCCCCAAGGATCCGTTCTAGGCCCCCTGCTGTTCTTGATCTACACCATTGACCTGCCCTCTGCCTGCACCAACTCGAACACAAAGTGCAGCCAATTTGCAGATGACACGGCGCTCATCGCAACACACCAGAGCCGTTTGACATCGGAGTTGTCCCTGCAGTCAGCCGTTTCAGCTGCCGCAACCTGGCAGCGCAGATGGCACCTCCTCGTCAATGCCTCAAAGACCGTTACCTTGTCGTTCACACCAAACCACCAACTCAACATCACTCTTAATGGCACACCCCTAAAGCAAGTCAAAGAACACCGTCACCTTGGAATCATACTACAAAACAACCTCCAATGGAACTCACATGTCACGCACATAATAAACAAATCCAAAAAACTCCTTCACCAACTTCGTAAAACACGAGGCCAACTTAACACCCCCAGTCTGCTCGTAATCTACACCGCCTACATTCGCCCGGTTATAGAGTACGGCAGTCTCGTGTTATCCGACACCACCCGCACACAGAAGGACCAATTAGAACGCGTTCAGCGACGAGCAGCCCGTATCTGCCTGCGGATCCCCCTTTTTGCACCAGTCCATCACAGCTCACTTCTTCATCATCTCCAACTCCCCACATTAGTCTCCCGGCAACTCTTACGACAGGTTACTCTTGCCCACAACATCAAGTACATCCGCGCTCCCCTTCACCTGCAACAGCCTCACCTTGCACGACCAATCACAGAGCAGCCATATGCACTACGACACATGAGAACATACACATTGAGAACATCACACACATACCGACACACCAACTCACCCATCAACCTATCCCTTCACAATTTCAACCAACTACCCCCCCCCCCCGACCTGCGTGAAACAAATAGCAAGCATGCGGTTAAATCAATGGCGTCTAGCCTCATTCTATCATCCATATGCTCCTGTAGTAGCTCACACTGTACCCCATCGTGACCCTATCCCCCTGCAATGTGTTGGTTTCCTTACTTGCTAGACTGATTTTATATGATTCTGGACTGATTTGAATCATATTATCTTCCTTATTGGCCATGGGCCATCGTGGAAATAAAGAATAATAATAACTAATAACCAGATGGACCGCCTCTCTAAAACAATAGCTGAAAGAAAATCTGCACCATCACTGCTCCTGAAGTCTTCGCCTTAGTCGAAAACAGACATGAATGGAACCGTTTCACCCACAGACGCGTAGAGCTCAATCCTGAGTGATACGAGCTGTTTGTCTTGGTATTGACCATACTGTTATAGTGCAAGGTCGCTCAAACCTCACTAGAAGTGAAAACACATCACCTGAGAGACTGAGCACAGAAGGAGTGAAGACTCGTGTTGAGGGACACGACACTTCCATCACTCACTCAAGACCTGCACTGAGAGAGCCCCTCGATAGGCTACCTGCCTCTGGGTCATTCCTCAAATAAAGATAATTATAAGAGTTACATTATGGACCTGTCACGTGACCTGGCGCAGAAAAGAAAGTCCGCAAACGACCTCAGCATTGTCCAGCCGTGTATTAGAGAGGAACTTGATTCGCACACACCTACTAGTACCGGTACCTGTTCGTCATGATGGTGAATGCCGCGGTGACTGGGTCCGTGATGACTGGGTTCGTGGTGACTGGGTCCGTGGTGACTGGGTTCGTGGTGACTGGGTCCGTGGTGACTGGGTCCGTGGTGACTGGGTCCGTGGTGACTGGGTCCGTGGTGACTGGG